ATGAAATTATGCCAGACTGATCTCTATGAATAATTACCTGTGGCTAATCAATATTTAACTTCAAAGAAATGCCTCGGTGATGAATCCTATTTAACAGGCAACCAGCAGCTGCTTGTAAACACTAGATAAATGGAAATCATTATCAGTCCCTTAAATCCACCATCAGAACCCATTCTCTTCACACATCTATCTCTGTGTTTTCAATTCTCCAAAACATTCATTTCACATTTGAAATTTTCCTGTCTTTGCATGAACATGATTTTCTCTGAGTAACAAGGATACTTTTGAGAATTTTAAGTCTTCCCCCTCTGCCCCTTCCTCCTGTATGGATGAACATAAGTGTGAATATCACTGCTGGAATATTTTCTTTATGAACTTCTTTGCATTTTTCCTGGAAAAATAACAGGACTCAAAAACTTAATTTTTGATTTTATGATCTCAGGGAAATTGCTCTGCTTCATTACAATATAATGGCATTATTTTTTATTTATTTTATGTGTGATCAACTACAAAAACACTAGTAATAAGAGTACAATTAAAAGCTTTCTTCCTCACCATCTTTGCTCTTTAAAAATCTCTGGTCATTGTATATGTTGAATTTCATTATAAAAAGAAGATTGCCGTTTTTACTCATGTTAGTATCACAGACCCAGTGTAGTGAGCTGAACAGCTACTGAATACATTAGTCTTCTAATTATCATTTGAAGTACAGGTACATTTTTCAAGATGTGTTTGAATAAATTTAGCTACTATTCCTGCAGCTGCAAATACATTTGGTATTGGGAAGTTGTGTTATCTGAGAGATAAATTTAAAAAATACACTTTTAAACAGTCATATTTATACAGACAGGAAAACTGAAGAGCCATATTTAACATTAATTTTATTTTCTTCACTTTTCTGTGTGAACTTCAGGCCATAGTGAGATTAATGAGAAAATATACCTTTAATGTGGTGAGATCAGGATTTCATCTCATAAATTTCAGTGCTTAACCTAAAATTATATTTTTCCATGTGCTATTTTATTAGTTACTAGAATGGGAGAGTATAATTCTGACATATAGCAATTTATTTATAGAGTTCTGACTGGGTTTCTCCTCTAGTAATTTGAAGTATTTTAAAAAGTTGGTGAGTATTTAATAGAGGAAGATAAGTATGAATGCCATGAAAACAAATCTATTGGCAAGTAGATATTGCAAGGGGAAGGTATGAAGGATGTGCATGCTCAGTTGTTTGTGTAAGAAGCCAATTTATACTTTAGGCATCACTCATGTAGACTTTCTTCCCATTTCACAGGAAATTTGAAAGATATTATAAATCTAGGAAAATGCAGAATGGTGGTTAACTGTGGTTTGAGCTGTGGGTGGCTGAAGTGATGCAGTGGAACTTAAAGTGATGGGTTGACATAAAGTCAAATAGAGAAGGCTAGGGTAGAAGCATTCTTCGGTGGTAATACAGTGGGGTTTTTTTTTTTGTTTGGTTTTTTTTGTTTTTTTTTTTTTTTCCATTTCCCAAGTCCAATTCTGGCATCCGCTCAGGAGTTCTTCTGGGGCTTGTGCCTTCAGGTCATGCCTTGCATGGCCCCAGACCCCACAGCTGAGGGTGTTTCATCCAGGCATTTTTGGCCAGAAACAGTGTGGAAATGCACTTAGAGCTGAGAACTGCACTGAGGCTTTAAAGAGAGGGGAACAAACAGCACTGAAGGTGTTGGACGGTCCTGCAAGACTGACCATTTTTGGTAAATGAAATGTCTGAAGGGTAGTGGGAATTTAAGGAGTGGAATTCAAGAAGTGTTTTTTTACAAATCTCATATATCCAGTTTCTCAGCAGGATTCATACAAGTGCCTAGAGAGACAATCCCTGCTTCTTAAGGAAAAAAAAAAATCTGTACAGAATTAAAAGATACCGTTGGGTAATTTAAAATAATGAAGGTGTGGAACATTAAAACTTTGAGCAAATTAAAGTTCCACCAACTGGACATAGTCTAAAGAATTTGGGAACTTTGAACTAATAGATTTTATAGAGTGAAAGGGAAATATTAACTAGTAATGACAAAAGTGACAGTATGGTGTCGGAAAATGCCCTTTCTTGACAGATCTGAACCAACATGATGCATTTTTCAGCATCTATAGAATCAGAACAGTTGGGTTGGTTTGGTTGTGTGAATGCTCCAGCCCAAATATGTTATTCATAACAATTACATTTGCATAAAAGTCACATTTGAATGTGCCAGATGTCCATTTATGTTTGTTTAAATCATGAGGTCATTCAATGAAATGAACAGAACCTAAAAATATAGGGAAAAGACTGTTTGGAAAAGTGAGATTTAAAATATCTTATAAATTTTCCCATTTTGTGGTATATTATGCAAACACAGCATAATGAGCACAGGAGCACAGGAATGTGGAGGCACTCTTCAAGAAAGCTGTGTCCACTGCTAACAGTTCATTAAACAATATATAATATGACAAAGCTTCATTTATTTCTATTTCCCAGCCAAGCCAATTTTCCCATTAACAAGCATGTTCTCCTTCTGAACACATTCAAATGTACCATTTTCAAAGACAGCATCATTGCTTCTCTTTCTGTGTTATGAAAAGATCCAAAGTCTTTCTGGATTGTTTTGTCATTTTCTGTAGCATTGAAGATTTTTAGAATGTCCTACTCAAGGCAATGCATATTCACAAATGGAACAAACAAGGGGAAACTGAACTCTCAAGTTTTATGTTACTGCATTTACATAAATGTTTAACAAGCAATAAACTTTTCTTATGCACATATGGAGACTACCAACTAACCACTTGAGTTCAACAAAGGCTCCTCAAATGTGTACTTAATTCATTTGAGACTTGTAAAATCTTGCCCAAGCCTGAAGAAACTCTGGTTTGTTCGTGCTGCAGCCAATTACTACACACATTAAACATTTACTTTAGTACTTGGTGAAATAAATTTAATCCTATACAATTTGAGATTTCAGCCTTGGTAAAGAAATTGAACAGCAGCATATCAGAACACACACCTGCTGAGCTACTCTGGTCCCTTTAAAGCAGAATTTGCATGGAAGGGCTGCATGAAAAGAAAATGGAGAGTTTAGCCAAAGCTCGTGGTCAAAGCTCAATAAAAAATTGTCTAGGAGTATAATGATATAACATGCAATAAACATGCACTAAAATTCAGTTTCATGCTGAGGTTCTTCTAGTGATATACCTACTGAAAACAGGGAATCTGATGACATAATGTAAGAATTATTTTAATTAGAGAAAGAGGTATCTCGTTCTTTCTTAACATGCAACAGGTGATACTATCTGTCCATTCATTCCCCAAAGAAATATGGATCACAAGCACATAAAAAAAAATCCGCAAGCTTCCCAAGCAAAAGATACAAAGAAGGCAAGATACTTTTCAAATCAGAGAAAATGCACCAGCACAACAGAGTGGGGATTTTTTTGTTCCATTGTTCCACACTCTTCCAGATACAGCTTCTTTAGAGATTAGTATGCTGTTTCTTCCATCTTCTTCTCAGTAGCAGCTGTTACTTGAATATATCAAGAACAGACTTTTCTGACATTTATTTGAACTAGTTCTGCTTTAAAATCTGTTTTAAATCAGTGGGCTAGGTTCTCATCAGGCTCTGTATGGAGCCTGTGGAGCCTTCCCGTTCTGAGGAGGCTGTGATGTGATCTTAATGATAAAGCCCCACAGCCCTGGGTCTGCTCTGCTCTCCGGGCTTTGCTCAGGCTCTCTGCCCCCTGCTCCCAACAGAGACTTGTCTGTTTTCCTGCTGCTGCTGGTGGTGGCCTCCCTGGATGGTGATTGGCACTGTGGCCACACGCTGCTGCAAGGCTGGGTATGGAGCCCTAATGCCTGCTTTTGCAGAGAGATGCAAAATTTTGAACAGCTGAAAATTTGCAGAAGTGGAAACACAAGCTGACCGGGTGGGATGGAGCCCTGAGCAACCTGGTCCAGTGGGAGGTGCCCCTTCCTGTGGCAGGGGGTTAGAACTGGATGATCTTTAAAGTCCCTTCCAACCCAAACCATCCTGTGATTCTATGCTTCTATTACTGAAAGAGAGTTTTATGATTGTGTGGTGTTTAGAAAATACATGTCATTTCTGCTAGTGACTAGATTTGATACATTCATCTCTGCTGAAACAAATTGCCAAAATAGTCTAACTACCCAGTTTTGCATAAATTAGAGGAACTTAAGGAGCAGAAAAGCACAGGGTCATAAAAGTGTTTCCCTTTGTGTATTAAATCACAGCATTGCAACCTTTTCCTGAGTGCATTTTCAAAGTGGGAAGCTGTCTCTATCCTTGCCTTGCATTCTGTGTTGGTATGTTTTTAAAAAGGCTATCTGTTATAAAACAAAATGGGCATTCAAGTGTTAGAGCAATTAACTGGACTGCTGGTTGATAAACAGATCCGTTTTTGTTGAAAGCTGTAATTAAAGCTGTGAGTCTGAAATACATAAGTCGGGATACATTTTTTTAAAAACTTTCCATTTTCCATTGCATATGAACTTCTGCACAATAATCTGACAGAAGTACTGACTTCTTCAAAATTCCATTACTTCCTTTCCCTTGATATGGCATCATTTTTATGCCATAGTAGCCTTGTACCATTACTTTTCAGTCTCATCCTGTGTCATTGTTATATGGGTATTTAGTTGAATTTGGGCTGAGTAAAGGATAGTCAGATTGAAAACATCTCCCAGTTGTGATAATATTTGTTTGATGTCTGAACTTCAATATTCAGCTGGAAGGAATTTTGCAGTGCATTTTATTTATTAATTAATGTTTAAAAAATTCAAATGCTTTTCAGTAAATCATATATACTTCATTGAAAAGTTGTTGTTAAATTATGCACATTGAAATTACTTAGGTTTTTTAGTTGTTGAATTTTTGTTGTTTAATATGGTTGGATTTATGCTGACAAACCCTGGCATTTGTTTTCGGGTTTTCTTAAAGTTGATTGATCTTTGTTTTTTTCTTTTATTTCAACAGCTTGATGAAATTGTCCGTCAGAGAAATTTGCATAGTTTGGAACTTTTCCTGTCATGTGCACAGAAACAGTTAGATGTTTTATTAAAGGAAGAGCCAACCTCAGCAGAAAACAGAGACTGACATTCTCAGTGCTGATGATACGGTGTGATTTGTGGAGCTGCAAATCTCCATCTAGCAAATGATTAATATATTCCAATCTTTTTGGATTGTATCATTGAGTCAAGATTGATCTGAAATTCTTGATAGAAATGTTTGTGGATTATGTTCTTCTATTTATTTATTTATTTTACTACTATTATCAGATAGCAAATATGAGAGGGAAAAAAATCCTTGGGAAAAAAATTGGTTTATTTAGGGTTTTACTTTCTTTATATTTTTTAGTAGCCCATGTCAAAAGTTTCCCTGTTATGTCTGTTTTAAATTTGGCACCATGTGTTAATATGATTCACCACTATTTTTGGTATTTTAAAAAATTGAGACAAACATTTAGTTGATTATAGGTACAAATCCATCTCTATTTCCAAAGTATCTACCCAAGTCCATTGCCTCAGGTGAACCTGAGTAGCTTATATTTCTTACTGCTTTTGATGTAGAACAGAAGAATCAGTACTGAACCATAAGAGTGTTGTCAGGCATTTCTTAAGTCATTTATAGCCAAATCTAGCTCTAGGAACAGAAAAATTTAGAAACTAAACAGTGTGTCTGTTTAGGGTAGTGTAAATCATTGCCATGACCAATGTATAGTATGTATTTTATTTCTGTTTTACAAAGCTAGTTTGATTCCAAAGGTCATTTTCTCATGAAATTATGATTGATGTGACTGACCTCAGTTTCAGGAAGAAGATGTATGTAATTATGTGGAGACTGATACTGCACTGCCTCGGTGGAATTTCGGACAGAATAAGGAGCAGCCTATTGACTTCACATGCCCTAAGTGCATCAAAGGAGGTAGAAAAACTCCCCACTAACATTATTGGAGTTTGGATGGCTCATAGGTCTTTCTAGTCTTGCTAACAGCAGATTGAGTGGAATTTCTGTGCCTACACTCTATTGATTGTAGAACTGTGTGTAAAAGAGCTCTGAATAAAATAAGGGAAAAGAAGTGTTCATGCTTTGGTATGTAAATAAACTAAGAATGATCTCTCTTACAATGAGCTTATGGACATTTTGTAAGTGTGGTTCTTATTTGGAGGTGGTTTGGGGTTTTTTGTTAAGCTGATTTTTTTTTTTTCATCAGCACTTTTCATAAATTGCTTTCTTATAGTAATAAGGAACACCAAAATGTTGCACATGTATTGGCAGTATGAAATATTTATTGCAGAAAGTTAAGGTTTTTCTTTAAATTTTTTTCTGTGCTTCATTTTTGTAATCAAACCCAAAGGTTTTGTCTTTTACATACGCAAAGGTTCACTGAAGAAGTAAACAGTGCTGGTTTTACTAGATTATGACCTTACCCTGCAAATCGATTAAAATCCGGTCTTCTATTTGATACTGGATTGACTGATCAGTTTGCATTTTTTCTGGCTGACAAGAAAATCCTATAGTGTTAACGAGTTGCCTACTCATTTTCTGTTCCTAAACCAGTGAAATTTTTGTCTCTGTAACTGCACCAAAGATGACATAGATGTCCCCATGGGATTTTTTTAATGTCAAGGTACTGTAAAAGGAAATTGATTGACTAGTGTTTTCTCCCAATGTGTGTTTAATTGTGGAAATGTGGTATGAGCAGATTCCTAAATGAACTTCTTGATTCTGTTCTAGGCCTGTACATCCAAGTGTTCCCCTTCAAAACCAGAGCCTGTTTATCAGCCTTTTCCTAATAAAGAGATTTGTATTCTGACTTGCAACACTATGTAAAAGCACTCTTTGAAGAAGCTTATGTTGGAGTCAGTAAGATTTCACTGCCAGCTGTGGTGTATCTTTCCCATTAGATCATGTATTATTTACTTTCAGCTCTTGAATATTGTGATGGTCACACAGAACTGTACGTATTTTTTCCTTACCTCTGATTTTTATCTTCCTCTCTATCCTGCAAGCAAAATTACAGACTAGACCACAGACATGCAAGACCAGATTGGGAGCTGGGGTTGCATTCAAAACTCCAAGTCTCAGAGAGGAAATTTACTTATACAGCAAAACCAGACCTATTCAGTAGGTGAGCTTTATGGCATACAATAGCCACCTTCCACCTTCTCCATACTTCATCCAAAGCTTTAAAGCTTGGGGATATTTGTCATTATTTCTATCTAACCATAAGAGAGTGCAGTTTGTGGAAATTTGGGAGAAGGGAATCAGAATCACAGAATGGCCTGGATTGGAAGAGACCTTAAAGATCATCCAGTTCCAATCCCTTGCCATGGGCAAGGACACCTTCCACTATCCCAGATTGCCCCAAGCCCTGTCCAGTCTTGCTTTGGACATTTCCAGGGATGGGGCAGCCACAGCTTCTCTGAAGCAACCTGTGCCAGGGCCTCACCACTCTCACAGAGAAGAATTCTTTCCTAATATCCAATCTGAACCTGCTCTCTTTCAGTTTAAAGCCAGGGACAAGTTTGCAAATCCACTCTGTCTCCTAGATGACATAGTATTTTTTTAAAAATTCTTTTTTTATTCCTACATACAGACTGGAGAATGACATAAAAGAGAAAATACCATGTTGTATGTCTGTGGGATAGAACTTTATCTGCCTCTGAGGCCTGGCTGGTAGTATTAAATATTGGCAAGACTGTACTGGGAGGAACAAGAAATCCTGGAACTAATCCTCAGAATAAAAATGCAAGAACTACAACATCAACAAAGCTCATATAATAAACATTTTATCTCTATGGTCATACACTTCATATTAGAAATAAACCATAAATCTTGTTATATAAAGACCTGGGTTGGACAGTGTGTATTAGAAGTGACTTAAAAAGCAGGACAACAGTAGATCCAGTGTTTGGAATGCTGTCTTTCCTTGATGTTAGTCTTTTTTAACACTTTTACTCCATGGTCTAGGACTGAGTTCTAGACCTTGTGATTTGTCTGATTTGCAGCCAATAGTTTACACAAAGTTAATGCTGAACATTGTGGCATCATACAGTCTTGGCACATTTATGTTATATTTCTGTAGATTTCTGTTGTCTCTTTATCTTCTTCCACTACAGGATTCTAGATTGGCTCTGAGACCACGTGTATGCAAGTCATACACAAGAGGGAATAATGGGCAACGTTTTTTGTATACTGTCAATACTTAAGATATGGGAATATTTGATTTTTTGCCTTGCTGTAAGAATCTCATTGACAAATTACCCTTGAATTCCTTGAAGCATTGAATTCCTTTGCTTCCATCATTCAGTGGCAGAACAAAGAAGCAGTAGTCTTTCCAGAGGCTGAGATCACTTTAGTATTTTGAATTTTTTGTGCATCTTTACATTGGCTTCTGATCAGAAGTGTGTCATATCCTGCCAGCTCAGTAAATGATGAGGTTAATTCCTGACTGTCTGAAATCATCCATGCAGATATGACCTTAGAGAGTCAATTCCTTTTCACATCAAAACTCCCTTACAACACTCGAGACCCTGCTCTTCCTCTCTTTCCTGTCCCCATGTTTGAGCTTACAGATTTTTCTCCACCCATTTGATGAAGGGAATATGTGTAAGATTTTGTCTTATTTCCTGGAAGGACATAGCCACCTATATAATTTATGCTCGTTTTCAGATCACATACAGTGTCATTGCAGTTATCAAATGGACTTAGTTTAGGTACTGTAAACTCCATTGCAAGAGTGACGTAATGTGTGGGTGCGATTGTCTTAAATTTTTTTTACATGGACATCCTGAATACTGTATAGAAATATTTTATAACATCTCCGGCATTTTTTTTTTTTTCATCAATGGTCCATAAATGTGCCAAAGAAGCACTGGAAAACACTTTTTACATGGGTACAATTCATGCCTTGCATTCAATTTAATGTTCTCATGGGAATTGACGAAAAAAAATATTTTCTATGCTCTGTCCAAGAATATTGTTCTTCTGAGGCTTCAAGAAGATTTATCTGCTACCATTGTTTTCATTGTTTATTAATTTTAAAGCCCACATAAAGCTAATACTCCTGCTGCTGAAATAGAGTCATATTTGAACCGTAGAACATCACAGAAAAACCACCCGAGTTGCTCTATCAAGTTTTGTGTTTGCTGAGTTGCTCAGGTTTTGTATTTGTTTCACTATTCAGTGATACATCATTCTTGTGATAATAATTATAGCTATTATCCTATGATAGTAGCAATAATAGCCACAATATTTTTCTGCAGTAGATGTGGTATTGATGTTTTATCCATGTATTAAATGCTGTGTAATTGTAACCATTTTAATATGCATCAAATATTCACATTTGCTTATATTGCCTATAATTCCTCACATTTCAGACTTACACAACCAACATTTTTTAGATGCTTTCCATTGTATGGAATGAATAATACAATGTGCAAACTATTACTGAATAAACACTCAAACTATTCTTTTTTTTCATATGACAATTTTAAACAGTGTAGCAGTGAACACTAGTGAAACAATGAGATGTTTATTAATACACATATCCTAAAAATATGATTCCCAACAAAATGCTAGAAATTTATCTTTTTTATTCAGATTTGATAATGAATCTGTATTAATAGGTATAGAACACTATCAGAAGTCAAATCATTGGCATTTGTTCTCTTTCTTCATGTTAAAATATTTTGTCTTCTCTCAAGAGCCACAGCAAATGGCATTCTTTTTCCATCAATGGTCCATTGATGGTCATCAAATGCCTCTCTGCATTTCAAAAGAAACTTCTCCTAACTGACCCCCTCTGCACAATGCTGTAGGATGTCAGAGTCCAGGACATCTGTCTGGCTGCCCTGGCTGTCTCAAGACCCTGGCAGAGGTCTCGGAGACCCTGGCATGAAGTCAAAAACATCACTGGCTTCGATTTTAGGTTGTGGAAAAAGCTGTCAATTTTGTATGAGGAATAACAAGCCACAAGGGTTTGAGTAGTGATATTTGAATTAATATAGGGTGGCAAAGTAGAAATTTGGGGTTTTTAGAATATAATTCAGGGAGTCAAGATGGAGGAATTTGGGCATGTCCTAACCTTCTTTTCCTTCTTCTTGTCCTCCATGTCTTGGTGTGGTGGTGACACTTTTCTATTAGTTTAAGGTAGCAATTCACAATCTAATATAGGTGATGGGAACTGGGCAAGCAATTGTAAACATACTACAGGTAGTTTTGAGTATCTAATGTGGGAGCCGCCCGAGGCTCAAAGCAGATGGCCATGGCCTCCTTGCTAGCCAGAGCTCAACATGTCAGAGAAAGAATGTTTAGGTAAGAAAAAATAAACAACCTTGAAAGCACAATTGGGCACATTCCAGGCTCCTTCTTTGGCTACAACAGGCTAAGGGAATGAGGACTCTTCACGATCTCGGGGTCACCCTGACCATCTGAACCCTGAGACATTGACAGTAGGAGGCTCTTTAACCCAGGGAGAAACAGAACTTTTTTGCTGAATGAACTTAGAAAGATATTCCAGTTCTTGTACTACTGCTAAATTAGCGCACTGGTTAAGTGTTCACATCAATGTTGCTGCATAAATTTTCCACAAGATGGCTGGTCATGGTGATACATGGTCAGTCTCTATTTTTGTGGCAATAATTTTAGCTATTCCATTACTTGAACATCCGAGTCTTTTATTATGATCATAGATTACATATTTAGAGCATGATTGGGAAGCACTGTCTCCCAGGAAATCAGCAGGAATTCTGCTGGTTGTTATTTACGGCTCAAAATATCTTCCACATTTCTTGCAATTGTGACCACAATTAATATAATGCATACAGTTCTGTCTTTGTATGGTTCTACAAATATACCAAGAAATTACGAGCAGATTTTGTGATCAGTTCTTTGAAGAAAATGTCAGGACTTTTTCTGTTGGTGGTGTTGGCTGAAGATGTTGGTGAGGGGATAACTGTTATTATTACTACACTGCTGCTAAGAAATTCTCCTAGAATAATATCACATGAGAATTTCTACTTCAAAATTACATCCAAAACTCCTAAATAAAACAAAAATAATTTAAATTAAATCAATTTTAAAAATGGAAGTTTATGCTTTTTAAAACTTAGGAGCATTG